TTATTTATACTTTGGAGGATGCTGATATGGAACCTCTTGGATCATGTTCAACCTATAGGTCTGACAACTTGTTTTGTGGTGAAACCCTCCCACTAGTCAACATGTACAGCGGAGTCGTTTTTGTCATCGGTTGTCCCCTCGTATAGTGGCCTTGACACGTACATTTACTAGGTTTAGGGATAACTTACAGACGTTCGACGTTAACACTGTAATAATTATTCTGCTCGGGTGCTAAACATTTAATGAGGTCTACCAAGCATTTATTGAGGCACGCCAAACATTTAAAAATATGCATCAAGCGGTCAATGAAAAACCTCTCGAGATGTCATTCGATTGGTCCATGTAAGGGAGGGTGATGCCTCTTTTCCGTTAATCGTGAGATTTAGTGTTGGTCTCCATGTGAGAGTAACGATATAGCTAATCATTCCCTGTCACTTGTCCTATCAATCACTTTGGATAACGTCAAAGAATTTTTTTATCAAAGTTAGGTCAGCTGAGATACAGCATATCCCGTACGTTCTAAGGGTCAACAACTACAAGGATGTTTTTCAATCTAATAATATTCAACTTATTGAGTACCTTCTCAATTTAAAGATGCTTGCAAGACACTAGGGTTCATCAGATGTGGGCCCATTTTGATACACGTGTTTTCTAGTGATAGACTTGCCACCGATTCATGTCCCATCAAAATATAAGCACAAATTTTATTATTTATGAATCGATCCTAATTTTAATGCTCGTGCTGAGGTTTTTCTTGAACAAATTAATTACAGATTATGAAGATATATTTTTTTTATATTTCTTGACAATGAATATACAAATTAACAATTAAAATACATCAAATCCCATCAAAATTTTGTAGTTAAGTATCTTCGGACGATTTTTTTTTTTTGGGATACTTGACCCTGGAAAAGTCTTGGCATTGCAAACCATTTTTAAAAAAAGGGCAATGAAGCTGGAACTAAACTACTCTGTTTATAAATTTTGGCCATTAGTTTTGGATGTTGAACTCTTAACAAGTGAAACTTTCGATACAATAATTGCATTAAATGTGTGTTGCTTTTTGTATCCTTTCTCTTCGATTGAAATAATTTCTTAAAGAGTAGGGTTGAGGCCACATAAATGTTTATTTTATAAATCAGCTGCACAAATTTATTCGAATTTTCTTGTGAGACTAGAATTAATTACTCCATAACCTTTCCCTTTAGAACTATTTTACTTTTTTTGGGTACATCACATAGATACGTAGATAGATTATTCCACATATTCGTCAAGATAGCTCGGGTTCAATTCAAGTTGCTTTGCTTAAATACGGGATCGTGCCTTTGAATCAAATCTCTTTCTTTCCTTTTGTTTCCAGCTATAGTAGGAAAAAAAAAAAGGAGAATAGAGAGGAAAAAGCTATAAAGGATAGGGGGTAACGCCGGGAAGCCAATGTCTCACTATGTCATACTGAAGAATAGGATAAGCTTCATCGAACTGTCGTAATTATGGAGATTCGAACTCAAGTATTGAGCGATAAAATTTGAATACTATCCATTGAACCAACTACTCACTCCTTATTTTGTTGCAATTTTGGTATATATATAATGAGGTATAGGTAGTGCTGATTGAGATTAGGAGAGGAACAGGATAGGAATGCTCAAAAGGCAAAATTGAGAGCAACCCTCAACTACAACAACTCCCAACTTGAAAATGACCTCAAGGGTTGCATTCATTTCTTGTATTGTGTTATCCTACTCCTATGTTTAGAAAGCTATGCTTTGGGCCACACATCACTTTATTTTAGGGTCATTGTATAAGGACCCTCCTGACTGTCCCATCTGGTAGAGATTATCCATTGAGAATTGAGAATAATTCCCTGTCCCTCTCTATAACATAATGGTTTTTGTTAGAATTGAAGATTTAGTTTTAGCAGGTTTGGATCATAGATTATGATTATTGAGCACTTTGGCCCTAAAGTTTAAGCGTAAAGGTTATTCTTGCGCCACAACTCTATTATGTGTGGGTGAAAAAATATTGGATGTAATGGTGACATCATATGACATTAATGATATGGTGTCACCAACCAATAATAGAATATTAAGTGGATTTGGTGGGCTCCAATGTTTTTCTAACTGTCAATAACTATTTGTAATGTTGGAATAGTGGGGTTCTTCAATCATATTTGTTGTTTTATAATTGGTTTGTGACAGCACGTGAATATACTGACGTGGTGACACTGTTACACCCAATATTGTCTCATTATGGAGGCATCAAAGACAGTTAACCAAGCGATTTGGTTGATAAGCTTAGTCAATGACGTAGATTTCTAACTAGCGTCGTTTGTGAGTTGAACCAGTTTTGACACATGACTCACTCAACTTATATATGATTGTTAACACAATTCATCGATTTTATCTAAAATTGACATAAGATAACGACATGAGTGTAAATGCAATGGATTTAATTTGTTTTCCCATTTAACTTATTATTATATCCACCTAAAAACCTTTATTCTTAGGAGGACTCACCATTAGAAGTTAATAGATATACAAATTAACAATTAAAATACATCAAATCCCATCAAAACTTCGCAGTTAAGTATCCTCAAACGAATTTTTTTTTTGGATACTTGACCTTGGAAAAGTCTTGGCATTGAAAACCATTTTTTAAAAAAGGGCAATGAAGCTGGAACTAAACTAATCTGTTTATAAATTTTGGCCATTAGTTTTGGATGTTGAACTCTTAACTAGTGAAACTTTCGATACAATAATTGCATTAAATGTGGGGCAATGCCAAGATAATGATTGCATAAAAGTGTTGCTTTTTGTATCCTTTCTCTTCTATAGAAATAATTTCTTAAAGAGTAGGGTTGAGGCCATATAAATGTTCATTTTAAAATGTTTATTATATAAATCAACTGCACAAATTTATTCAAATTTTCTTGTGAGACTCGAATTAATTACTCCATAACCTTTCCCTTTAGAACTATTTTACTTTTTTTGGGTACATCACATAGATACGTAAATAGATCATTCCACATATTCGTCAAGATAGCTCGGGTTTAATTCAAGCTGCTTTGCTTAAATACGGGATCGTGCCTTTGAATCAAATCTCTTTCTTTCCTTTTGTTTCCAGCTTTAGTAGAAAAAAAAAAAAGGGAGAATAGAGAGGAAAAAGCTATAAAGGATAGGGGGCAACGTCGGGAAGCTAACGTCTCACTACTTCATGCTGAAGAGTAGGATAAGCCTCATCGAACTGTCGTAATTATGGAGATTCGAACTCAAGTATTGAACGATAAAATTTGAGTACTTACCCATTGAACCAACTACTCACTCCTTATTTTGTTGCAATTTTAGTATGTATGTAATGAGGTATAGGTAGTGTTGATTGAGATTAGGAGAGGAATAGGATAGGAATGCTCAAAAAGCAAAATTGAGAGCAACCCTCAACTACAACAGCTCCCAACTTGAAAATGAGCTCAAGGGTTGCATTCTTTTCTTGTATTGTGTTGTCCTACTCCTATGTTTAGAAAGCTATGCTTTGGGCCACACATCATTTTATTTTAGGGTCATTGTACAAGGACCCTCTTGACTGTCCCATCTGGTAGAGATTATCCATTGAAAATTGAGAATAATTCCCTGTCCCTCTCTCTAATATAATGGTTTTTGTTAGAATTGAAGATTTAGTTTTAGCAGGTTTGGGTCATAGATTAGAATCATTGAGCACTTTGGCCCTAAAATTTAAGCTTAAAGGTCATTCTCGCGCCACGGCTCTACAATGTTGTGGTTAAAAAAATATTGGATGTAACGGTGACACCACATAACATTGATAACATTGATGATGTAGTGTCACAAACCAATAATAGAATATTAAGTGAACTTAGTGGACTCCAATAATTTTCTAACTATCAATAACTACCCCTGTCATGTTGGAATAATGAGATTCACCAATCCTATTTGTTGTTTTATAATTGGTTGGTGACACCACGTGATAATAATAACGTGGTGTCACCGTTACACCCAATATTTTCTCATTGTGGGGGCCATCAAAACCAGTTAACTAAGCGATTTGATTGATAAGCTTAGTCAATAACGTAGATTTCCAACACACGTCATTTGTGAGTTGCATTAGTTTTGATACACAACTTATGCAACTTAAATATGATAATTGTTAACACAATCCATTGATTCTATCTAAAATTGACATGGGATAACGAAACAAGAGTGTAAATGCAATGAATTTAAATTGTTATCCCATTTAACTTATTATTATATACCCACTTAAAAACCTTAATTTTTAGGAGTACTCACCATTAGAAGTTAGTTGGAGCCTTTTCCTTCATAACCCTCACGTGTGTTAACTGATTTTGCCGCCGACACTCATTTGAGGACCACAAAAAAGCTTTATAGCTATTCAAAATCTAAAATAAATGAAGCATATGTATATCTGGGCCCCCCCAATCTGTCTATCTTTTTGTTTTCTTCTTTTTATTGTAATAGGCTGCATCAAAGCCACAGATTAGAGAGCATAAGAGTTGAGTATTGAGAGGTGCCCAAAGTGTAACAACGGCTTGCTCTTAATTATTATCTTATTAGGGCAACTCGTGTGCAAAGACATGGTGCAGCGTTAGTGAGAAATAATAAATTTGAAGAGAGAAATTCAATGTGAATAATTTTAAAAGAGATATTAATAGCCGTTGGATGAATCTATTTGACACCATCAAATGGATTTATTAAAACTTATCTTGTTTTATATTATAATTATAGATATGGATATAGTTTTTTATCTCTCTCCATCACTTGTTTTGACAATTGATTCCCTTTCTTGTAGTAATCCAGTGCTGGAATTTCGATTCAGGTTTACCAAGAAAGGGTAGCTAACACATAAGTATGATGATGTCGTATAAAATAAGTATAAGACGGATCTAATATATATATATATATATATATTTTTTTTGGAGTTCAATAAAACGAATTAAGAATGGCCCAATTCTAAGCATATCCAGCAATAGCTTTGGCCTCCTTCAGAGTCTATATTCCAACAAATCTAAACACACAGTAGTTGAATTAACATTTGTCATTTTACAAAACATGACAGAAAGGACAGAAAAAAAAAATGCTATGAATCTGGTATTTGCAGCATGAAAAGGTTGTGAGGGCATTACTTAACTTTGCCAAAACACAAACAAGTAAAAACTACATGAAGAAACAAAATTATAATTTTTACCCCCTTTCTCTTCCATTTTAGGCAGATGAAAAGATAAAGATACTATTCTGACAAAGTTTAACATTCTCCTACTTTGCATCTCCTTGTGTTTTGGATCCACTTTCAGGATTATAGGGCTACCGTAACTTTGAAGATGCAGATGGAGGGAAGTTTCAGCCATGGATTTGCACCTCCCAGCATGGAAACATTTTCAAATCATGGGTATAAGTGAGCTCATTCTCAGCAGGGATGCTGGGACTCTGGATGGTACAAGCTATAAAAACACCCTGTTGTGCTTTCAGGAAATTATTTCCACTTTGCACCAGAGTTTACAAGTTTAATATAAGCATTCTTAAAATCTTCGAAGAATAAATCCTGATTGTCAGCATATCTTGAGATCCATCTGTGCATAGAAACACAAGTAGATACAAAATGAGAATAAAAGAATCATTTACAAAAATCTTAAACTGGCCTAAGAATTAGTATTGATGAGTGTGCATCACAACTAGTTTTAATAACTTCCATGGAAGGATGAGCTCAAAATAAAAAGAGACACTTTCATGCAAGGAAGCTAGAGGAGCCCTTCCAATACGACAGACCATTATGCAAACAGATACTCCATATCTGTATGTTCAGCAGTCATCTGCCGCACTCAATATGTAGACAAAAAGCAAATTTCAAAAAATCAAAAAATCAAAAAATTGCAAACAACGTTAGAAAATGTGAAGGAATCTAATTAAGGCCGTAGAAGTTGTTCAAGTAACACGTATTATATGTTGTCACAACAAACTATGAATGATATATCTAGAATAGGGCAAAACTATTTGCAAATTTGATCTACAAAGTATCATACTTATAGAAGCTGGGTTTGAATTAAAGGAAAAAAAGGTACCAATGAGAATCTTAAACAGAGGCAAATATATCAATATTTAAATGTATTGCCACAATTTTGTTGGCCCCAGATGTACTACAGTAATTTATATTCGATATAAATTGTGAGTAGTGGCAGGTAATTGTTGTTTTGGATGACAACAATACCTTAAGCAGTCATCATCATCAACGAGTGCACGATCTGAGGGAAGCCCAATCATACTTGACATACCAGCTGCAGGGATCAATGATACAGGAATGAAAAATGGGCAAGACCAATTGATAAACAATAGTCAGTGCTATGATGACCAAAAGTAAGTAATAACCTTCATTCTTTAGTAACAGGGAATGTTTTTTTATTAAGAATGTCTAGAAAGCACGACTTGGACAATGAGTATGATCTTGGGAATGAGGATTAATGATTGGGAACGGCCTACATTATGTTGCTTTTTCAAAGAGGGCATACTGAGCCTGTCTAGAGGCCAAGAGCACCTTTATTGCCCAGGTTTTGAACGAGTGGGGATGCAGGCAAATTTTCAAAATAAGAAGCTAAGAAACATATTATGACAATCACCTGAAGATAACCATGGCTTCTCCAGAAGTATTTTGAAGTAGGAATTATCAAAGACCACTGGATTACCAAAACCTTTACTTCCTAGAGTATGAGCTCCAGACAATGCAACAAGTTCTTGGGTTCTGCCATGGAAATTCAACAGTCATGTACGTATCAGACAAGGTATCAATTATAACTTAACCAGGGAAAATTTTCCAGAGGTAACTGATAAGCAGTGTGCTCGATAGCTTTCAGTTCTGTGCACAACTTGTTGACAACCTAGGTGTTCTCACCCTTCATACTTCTCAAAATTTTCTATGTCATACCAACTGAGGACACCTATTGTGAGACATGCGTGAAAGATCAAATATGGTGCTTTCTCTATCATTCCGCAGTGTCCACAACATTTTCCCACCCGCAGTAAGGAAGAAAAACAGGAATTGGCTCAATGACAGAAAATATATCATAGGAAATACCAGTTTGGTCCGATGTAGAGCAAGTCATGATGTACATTTGGAAATACTAACATTGAATATACGTGATCCAGATCATATTTGAATTTTAAAAATGTCTCAAGGCACGAATCCTCGTCATTTTTAGTAAAGACTGCCTTGATTCCACATAGCTGCTAACTCTATCCTATATGAAAAGAATTCTTAGGTAATCTCAAGAGACCTAATATGATGCTTGAGTTTAGCTATTGTAAGGATCTTTACAAGTTCTCAAGCCTTGTAAAGGATTTGAACAGTTCCCTTTTTGAAGTAAGAGACAATGCGAGGCACAGAAAGATTGAATTCATTAGTTCTGCACCCCTGTACTAAATAACGCTTAACAGTGTTTATGAAAAATACGAAACATGAAAGTACAGTTATTGAACAAATCAACATAAGGATTAGCCTTCTGTCTCATGTTTAATATAACCAAATGATGTGAATGTATGCACTTTTCTATAAATCCAAATTGATATGGCACAATGGAAATTCTGTTTTCAATCCATTTCTTGTTCTCCACTCCGATAATGACCTCTGAAAATATGTATTTTGCAGAACTTTTTTCTCAGTATCATCAATGGCTCCTAGCTTCCCCACTATATTGAAACTAGTTTTTCTCATTTTCTTTTGAGTTGGGGATTCGAGGTACTACGATGGTGTAATGTCAATATAAAAGACCTCAACTATGACCCAAAAACAGAAAGTCCCATTTAGGATATTGACCACAAAAGATTTAGCACAGTAAAGTGAGTTTTAACCACTGGAGTTGCATGTTTGCACAATGTGTTTTCAAATAAACAGTCTATACTGTCCAAAGTATTTAATCAGCTTGAGTAGCTGAAATAGACACACCATGATAGAGTGTGTATAATCTACCTAATAAGTTACAGCGGAGTTAGTTGTCAACATAGTATCTAAACTTGGTGTTCCAGGAGGACCACTAGGTTCTATTTATATAATGGCTTGTTTTCACTGCTTGTTGGCCTCTCCCAGAGTGAGGACGGAGGTCGCGCATTTGTATTTTTCTTCTTTTTCCTTTTCCTTTAAGATTTTAAGGAAACAGGTTTTCTTAAACTTTGTGCATTCTTAAACTCCCAAAATTTACAATTTGTTATGTCTCAACTATTTGTGGGATATAGTCAAATCGGAGGTTAATTTGAAGATCTCTTCTTTGCTCTTATCTTCTCTTCTGTACTCTTGTTATTTTTCTTCTCCTCCTTCATGCTCTTAGTCTTCCAAACAAAAACCTGGAATCACCCTATTCAAAACTAGGGATCTTAGCTTAACTAGTCTAATCATTTATTTACCACAACTCACTTATAGCAACCCAAAACTCCAATAAAATCCAAAACATTGTTCACAGGTACTTAAAACACCACCCTGAGCAGGCCTTGCGACCACCAATTTCACACTCTATCAATCCAAGTCAACCCTCATTTTGACACCAAAACAAGCAATATGTTACCTATCCAGATTATCCCGCCTGATTCTCTAAATTTTCTGCTACCCAACATCTCCAAAACTATAGCCCGCGTGAGCCCCTTTCTTCCTCAACCACAAACTGCAGAGGCTCTAAAAGCTACAAATGATTCTGACAGATATTACATGAGATGAAACCATAAACACATCACTTCAGCAATCAAAGAACAATAAACAAGATACACAAGACAACACAGGCTTGACAACCATATAATACTCCAGCATAAAAATTTTGGCAATAGAAATATGCTGGATAAAAAAACATTAGGCTACTATGGGCTTTTGGTGACTCTTTACAAACTTCAGAATTACGATTATTCACAAAAATGTAAATTAATCAGATAAGCAAAGAAGATAACAAAGTAGGTGAAATATTAGAACTCACGAAAAGCCTTTTCTTTGAAAACACTGCTTCAAACCAGAAGCATCCAATGATTCTTGAGGAAGTTTTCCTTCAGGATCAGGCATCCTATAAGGTAAAACATTACTAATAGTAAGAATTAAGAGTTCTTCATATCTAACCTTTGAATTTCAGACTGGATGACTAACATTTGAAGTATGGTGAGAATGTTCTAGTGAGCACAATCTACAAGATTATTAGGACAAGGCATCCAAAGGTTCCAGTTTAGGCTCAGATTGAGACAAACCTGATCTCGAGCCATATATGATATTGTAAAAGATGGCAACTTACATTGAATCTATTCTGCCGATTAGAACTGGGATCTTTGGACCTCCACATACTGATACAGCTTCTGCTCCAGCCACAGCAATCATATCTGCCCATGACACTAATAAAGAAACAAAAGCCACAACAAATAAGTGCGGTATCATAGAAACTATTACAGTCAATATTTTCATGGACTAACATCACATAGGAGTCACCTGGTTGTATTACATCCACTTCACTCTTCGCTTTCTCTAGAATCTGAACAACAATGCATACACCGAGGAGTTAGCTGGTTGGAGGCTGCATTAAAGTTGATCAGTATAGATATACATCCAAGAAAATAGGAACTTAAAATGTAATAATCAAACGTATACTTGCAAGCACATATAAAGATATGAACATGCATATCCTCTGCATGAAATCAAAATGAGGAAAAGAAAGTGAAACAAGAAGAATGCAAGAGAGAAAGAGAGCGTACTTTCAGAGATTTCTTAAGACCTCCGTTTTCAGGTCTATCAAGTTCAAAAACTACAGATCCATTCATACCACCTGAACTTAAAAAAAATTACAATTTGGATTGTTTACAAGAAAGGAATAAACTAAAATGAACTAGGGAAAGACCAAAACCAGTCAGATGGATGGGTTGATGTAGTGAAAATTGATAACACGGTTGATGACTTCATGTGTTCATAGTTCAGCATGCCAAAACTCAACTCACTCACTCACAAAAGCATCACACCGACTCCTTGGGGCTGTCTTACCCCAACTGATGTTAGCCCACCAATTCAACTAAGTTTTGGACTCACCGATATATTGACACCGTACCAAAGTAGCTAAGACAAGTATGCCCTCTTAGGAATGTTTCCTGGCCCTTGTAGTTGCAGTGCCTTCCTCATTTTAATAAGATTTTACATTCCAAAAAAAATTTGTATCTTGCATTCCACTAAATATTTTGATACATGCAACTAAGGACAAAATAAAATATAGAACATCGTAGCTAATAACTTGTGTGAGGCACATTGTTCACCCCTTGAAGCATGAATCTTTTATCAATTGTTGCATCCCATGTGGAAACCTCCTCCCAATGAAATCTCCACAACCTTCCCAGTTATTGATTTTCCTCCTCAAGATCACACTGCCTATACCTAAGCTTCCATTATATTTTGGAAGATTAACCATATGCTAAATGCTGTGCAATAATTCAATTTAATCGGCTACCTTTTTCAGAATTTTGAAAGGTAAAGGATGTGGAGGGAAATTTTAATAGGGCTGCCTGAAGTAGAGGTTTTCTACCACCTAAAGAAACCTGCACTTTCTTCTGACAGAAAACCTTTTGTAGATATTTAAAACATTTGTTGAGACCAGATTCCAAAAACAAGTACCTGAATTCTCTTCCATTTCAAAAGTTCCGGCATCATGAAAAACTAACCGAAGTACACCAGCAGCCTTGCCCTTAGACAATACCTTTCTTACTTCTCCCTGAATGAGAGAAACTTCACTGCAAACCCATATTTTAATATCAATAAAAAATAAGAAATAAATAAACACGGTAGACAGTTTATAACTGAAGAAGAATATAGTTTTATAATTTGTTTTAGTTTCCATATTACAAAAAATAATTGCAGAAATATTTTCTTCTTTTTTTTAGTGGGGGGTGAGGGAGGACTGATTATTTTAAAGAAATAATTATAATTTATGCATAACTGTAAAAGGAATCACTAAACTTAGGGGAGGCCATGGCCTTTGCCAACTATTCTTTAAATTTGCCACCAACTCCATATGAATGCAATATCTATAACATGTAATGTAAGAAATCCTAATGAATACGTTCTTAGAAAGTCCAATTTAGAAATAAATTCTAGCTCCGCATTACTAATCCCAAATCAACATACCTAATTTTCATACAATACTTAACAATGAATTAAAAAATAATTTTCCCAATTTTCAATAGGGGTGTATGGCATGTTTAGCTCAATGAAAATATTCAAGTAATGAGCCCACTATCTTTCGCGCTAACAATCATCTTAAACCTTATGCTAGTCTTCCTCTTTCACAACAAAATGTACCCTTGTAACTTGTAAGGAAGTGGATGGCAATTGCAAGTCAAAAATAGAACTAGAGAAAAAATTCATGTTATTTTTTCGTGACAAGGGTCTCCTCCTCTTAAAGCACTCAATTAATTCCCCAGTTCCATGCAATGCCCCAACAAGCATGCCCCAGCCCATAACCATTATTCTCTTATGTTCTATGATGGATCCAGCCTACTCCAAAGTCTAGAGGGTAAGGATAAGGGTAAGGGATGGGTGACGTTAAAAGTCATTTAGGGATTAAATTAAGGTCTTTGACCTGATAAGAACTATACATCGTTTCTACTACAAAGGCAAGCCTTGAAAACTATCCTCGCTACCCTGGCAAAGTCATGGTGATTTATTATGAAAATAACATATTTACCAATGATGTGTTCCAATAACTATATATAATTAGAACAAATTAGCTACACATGATTTATTTAACGAAAATTCTCATATTCTTTTTATAAAAGCATATAGCGTTCCTATCAAAATATAAGACCCAAATTATTCTAATCTATATTTATTGTGACAACAGTTTAAAGGAAACGCACTAAATCCAAAATAAATCAACAAATCGAACACTATTACCGATACTACGCAATGAAATTAGGTTGTTCCTCGACTTACTCCAAAGCATTGGCACCAAAGCCCCCCGTCGATTGATGAAGAGGAAGAAGAAACGGAATTGTAGCAGCAAGTACAAGTGCCCTCCTCCCATATGATGCACAAAAGCGACTTTCATCTGTTATTCAAACAAATAACTGCAATGAAGTGACGAAAATTCCATATTTGCATTTTTATTTCTTGTTGATCAAATAAATAAATTAAGAAATTCAGCCCTTTCCTTTTTTTTTTTTTTTTCTTTTCTTTTCTGTGGTTTGTCTGAGCAACCAAACGGAGGGTAAGGGAGAAATAAAGGTCTTACTCGAGTCATCGTCGGTGGTGATGGTGGCACATGAGGAAACTTTGATGGTTTTCCGACCAAATACGACCGTTGGAGGAGTTCTGGCGGGAAATTTGAAATATCTGGCGGAGGAGAAGGCGGCCATTGAGGTGCTCAGCAGCGAAGGGTCGACGCTGGTGCTTGTCATCTTTAGCGGACGGTTGAGAATAGAAGTCAGTCCGAACATGTATACAACATGCACACACTGGCTACTGACCCGCCGTAGCCTCTCCCAGCCATTTTTATTTTCAAAAATTATTTTTTGACACCTAAACTCGGTTTTACTGCCCGTTCAACTATTTGAATTATTTCATTCCGTCTCAAATACAAACGTGTTTTATTTTTTTTGGATAAAAATTATCAATGTGTCGGGACAAAGCGAAAAAAATCACATAGTTTAGGAGACAAAATAAAATAAGTTTTTATCAAATTTATAACAGATGCTAATAATTGTAGTAGCGTGAAACTAATCACATAATTAATGGTACAATATAAAAAATATAATAGTGAAGGGGGCAATGTGAAAAAAGGAGTCAAAGTATAATTTGTTCAAGTATGATAAAACTATGATTAAATATTACAAAATAATTTGAATAAATTTTCATATATATCCAATTACTTAATAAAACTATGATTAAACATTACAAAATAATTTGCGCCAAGATCCAAGAGAGAAACAATATCAGAAAAAGAGTAATCAATTCACACAAAACAAACACAATTAATAATCAAACCTTTGCAACATGTAACATTTTCACTCTTACTAATTCAATTACTAATTGTTGCAAACAATTAATCATCAAAACATTTATAAAGATCAATCATTATATAGTTTGGTATTTGTGCGGCAAAAATTTTGCATAATAAATTGCGACATAGTGTGGACAAAGGTGACAATAGTAAAGCCTCGAATAACTTGCAAGACAAGCAAGAGCACCGACAGTCGGAGGTAGCCAAAGAGACTCCAATGACAGTATCAAAGCCTCGAACGTCCAACAAGACAAGCGAGAGGTAGGTGAACCAATGATTAGAGGCAGCAAAAAGAACTCCAATTGCTTAATTCAGATCGTAAGCCAAGAGAGAGAAAACTCAAGTGAGTAGCCAGAAAATGGTGCCCAGAAAGTCTACTTATAGTGGTAGGAAGTTGTGTTCTATTGAATCTCAAACTCTAAATTTTGATAGGATTGATCTACCTTCCAACATACTTGATCTTATCAATACCTCCTCAATATTTAGAGTAGTGTTGGACTAGAATTATTGCTCCTAGTTGAACTGTATTCGAGTAGGACTCGTTTGATAGTTATTTTGATGCAAGTAGGCAAGCAAGCTTACGATAGTAGTGATATACTTGCCAAGTAGTATGGTTGGTGGTCATGTGCCCGCCGTTGGCTAGCAAGGCCATAGCTTTTCCATGGTAGGTTGCCAACCAGTAGCAGGTGGTTTTGGATGGTCTCCTACAATTGTCTGCATTATCTCATTTAATAATCTTAATTAATTAAGGTATATTTTTGAAGAACAAGGGTTCTTTGGGCCTAACTCCTTGCCATTGGGCTTTTGTTGCCTAAAAGATTAAGGCTTTAAAACATCACTTTTCTTTTCTCTTCCTCCTCATATTGATGATGGTAGAGTCACAAAGCTTCTTGTGGTTATCAAGTCAGCTTTAATGAGTGTGAAAAACAACGAGAGGAATAGGTTGTGCCGCCATACTTTCAAAAGATAAAGAGAAGGTGTGAAGAATGTCATTAAGGGAGTGACTCAACTTGTTGCTTTAGTATTCACCTTTGGTTAGCTCTAAGCTAAGTTTGAAATAAGTTTGATTTGGTCCTTAGTTAACATTTTGTTGCTCGATGTACATGCACAAGAAACAACTTGAAGATGTTAAAGTTGAGATTACCTTTTTGGAGAGAAAGGTTGTAGAGTTAGAGTCCCGAGCTGATGAGCTTTAGTTGGAACTTGTTAAGGCAGAGAAGGAAAATGAGGAGATAGAGGAACAACTGAAGAATGCTATTTGTGATCATTACTCCGGGATCTTGCACAAGTGAATAAGAAATATGTCAAGGAGAAGAAGAAGACATTCAGAGATGGCTGGGGAGGAGCTCTTATGTAGAGAACTAAAAAAGTGAGGATATATTTTTCAGTTTTGTCGGTAGGGTACTATTCATGCACCATTTGCCGATAGAGCATTACATATACATCATTTAGACATAAGTTTTGTTTAAAAGAATAATTTGAATATGTCATAGAAAAGAAACATGCTTAGAATATTAAAATACACTTACTGTGCGAATTTGAGTCTAAACGAAAATAATTTCAAAAATTAGACCGAGAGGATATCTCAGGTGGCCTAGGGCCAAACCTGGCCACTAGCGAAAATTTAATTTTTTAAAAATTTTTATTTAAAATAATTTTAAGAATTTTGGTTAAAATAAAATGTCGAATTGACGAGTTACAGTGTAACGGGGTCCCGGATTCATCAAGGGCAAAAGGGTCATTTTGCACATGTGCCCCTCCATTATAAATACAGTCTCCTTAGTGTAAAAATATCAGTTTTGGGGCTGAAAAAGGTCAGTACACATTTTTGGAGGAAAAAAAAAAAGAAAAATCCTAAATTCTTCAAACTTCAAGCCATCAAAACTCATTTCTAGGCCAATATTCTTGCAAGACTTCTTTCTAAGAAGTTGTTACTCTCAACAAGAGCTATATTTTTACCAATCAGTTAGGCTATAAAGCAAACACAACTCTCTTGGTTTGAGAAAAATCATTTTAAGTATGATATTTCGCTAAGTTGAAAATAGATTTAAGTTTTTTTATCTTCCTATGTGTTGATTGGATGATTTAGGTATTTACTTGATATTAAAAAATTATTTAGTTGGTAGTTGCTTTGAAAACTTAGAATTTATAATTTAAGTACTTTTATATTTTTTTGAATTTCTTGACAATTTGTTGTTATGGTAAATGTGTATATTGTTTATGTGTTGAATTATTATATTCTAGCTTATGTTCATACAGAGAAACTCTTGTGGTTTGAGAGTTATGATTTATCACATGAGTTGGTAGTTTGTGTATTTGTAGTTTCTTTGAGAAATTGTGAAAGTAATGAATATGAAACTTGATCATATGTTCAATCCATTGAATGATGTTTCACATTCATGTAGATAAGATGTTTAATGAAATGTTTCATAGAATTCATATAGAAAAATATCAAGGCATCTTGACATGCATGAATCCTTGGAATATAGTGTAGGTTGAGCACTTAGTGCTATGCTTTATGAGAGTGTAGATACTGTAGTGAAAAACTCAAAATCTGGCAAATGACAGTACTTGCGGGCTAACGGGGGCTGACCGTGAAGCGAGACATAGGTGACATAGAGTTGTATGAATGTGTCATGTATATTGGCATTGCATAGCATTGAGGGATCACATGGTTATAGCTTTTAAAAATGCATACTTGCACAGACCACGCCTTAAATTTGTTCCTAGCTTTAGCATTTTGTCATACCAACAATTGAGCTAACTCATTCGTGGGATATCATATTACAGATGAGACTCCCGATACTTGAAACTTGGAGAAGTCTTAAAGGAAGGAGGGGAAAGGGACTTGAATGGATGTTTGACCTTTGAGCATATTTTGTATATATGGGCATAAGCCCAAATGACTTGTATTTCAATTTGAAAAAGTAATGAATTTAGATCTTGGGTCATTTTAAAGTGTAAGGGTGTAAACCCAATTGATATATATGATATCTTTATGTAATGAGTATTTTATGTGTATGTTGAAAACAATGGATGTATGTTTAATTTACATGGATTGTGACCACCGAGTAAGGGTGAGTTGTGATATAATAATGCATATGAAATATAGTGAATATTAGATGAGAAAAAGGCTTGAAAACAAAGGAGATTATGTCAAAATTTTATGAAAAATTAAAAGACTTGTTAAGTGTGTAAAATAGCTTTTAAATATGTGAGAAAGAAGTCAAAAAGGGGGGTTTAGAAACCTTAAAGAAATAGGCTAAAAATGGAAGAAAAGTGGCTTGAAAAACTTTAGAAAAACATGGGAAATGAATGAGAAACCAATTTATCCAACCTAATGACCTTTCATTTATTTTTCTTCTCCATATTCACTCATTCCCCAGGTTTGTGGAAATTCGGGGCATGACAACTTGGTATCAGAGCTTAGGAATTAGATCTTATATGGGAGTTGTAGGGATATGGGTACACTAATATTGGAGATAGTTAAGAACATTTGTGGTGACAAAGGAATTGTTTTTACATCATGAGTTTTGGATGTCACAGAGAATATTAGTGTATTTTGGCTGAGAATGTATGAAAGTGAAAAAGCTTCGAGGTATGATGATTTATGATGTTATAACTTTTTTAAGTTATGTCAATTTTCATTATTTTGCCTGCCCCTTAGTTTCTTTAATTTGTGATGTCAAAGATGTATGGTAATTCAATTTTGTTACTTGGGGATAAAGTCAACTGTGGCGTCCTTTATATAATTTTGGTTAGGTGAAGTTATTGGAATTGATAGAGATGTTAAGAATTGCATAAAGATTAAAAATTTTAATTTTATGGTGAAAACTTTGAGTTGGATATGTCTTCCATTAGGGTGATTAAGAGACTATAAAATAGTACAATGTTCAAATACAATCAATTGGACAAGCATGATAAAATGAATTAGTATTTGAGTCGATTTTAAAATAAAAATACAAATTATGATTTTGTTTATGAGTGGATTAAAGGTTGTTATATGATCATTTATTTGAGGTTATTAATAGTGGTCTGAAATTAGTATGAACAGTTGGCTAGTGTTGCTTTGGGTAAAAAATTAAATGTTAAGTGATGACTTAATTTTTGTACAATTCGATTATAAGAATTACTCAGAAAGAATATGATTGGAAGATCGTGGTGCAATAATCGATGAATTATATTAGATGACTTTGTTTGAAGACTGATTGAGAATGACATGATAAGCCTTTGAAGTAAAAGAAATATGGAGTAAGGAAATTATTCATTACATGAAAAGGTAGGTAGGGCCAGACTACTTAGGGTCGTGTTTATGCAGTGGCCACACCAGAGACATCTAATTTTGGACTTTTAGTGGTTCAAGGTACATTCTTTGTGTTTAATTCATGGGTTAGCGTGCTGATAGACTCGAGTGCATCTCATTCCTTCATATCTACCATGCTTGCTATGACATTGGGG